GCTGCATTCAAGCCTCACATCACCAAGCACAATGCCAAGCGTCAGATGGAGTGGTGTAAAACATGCTGCCATTGGACTCTGGAGCAGTGGAAACTTGTTCTGTGGAGCGACGAATCATGCTTCTCTGTCTGGCAGTCTGATGGATGAGTCTGGGTTTGGCAGATGCTAGAAGAACATTACCTGCCTGACTGCATTATGCCAACTGTAAAGTTTGGTAGAGAAGGGATAATGGTATGGGGTTGTTTTTCAGGGGTTGAGTGAGGCCCCTTAGGTCCAGTGAAAGGAACTCTTAATGCTTCAACATAGCAAGACATTTTGGACAATTCTATGCTTCCAACTTTGTGGGAATAGTTTGGGGAAGGCCCTTTTCTGTTCCAGCATGACTGTGCCCCAGTGCACAAAGCATGGTACATAAAGATATGGTTGGGTGAGTTTGGTTTTGGAGAAGAACTTGACTAGCCTGCACAGAGCCCTGACCTCAACCCCATGAAACACCTTTGAGATGAACTAGAACGAAGATTGTGAGCCAGGCCTTCACGTCCAACATCAGTGCCTGACCTCACGAATGTTCTTCTGCATGAATCGGCAAAAATTCCACAAACACACTCCAAAATCTTGTGGAAAGCCTTCTGAGAAGAGTAGCAGCTGGTATTGTTGCAAAGGTGGGATTAACTCCATATTGATGCCTATGGATTTAGAATGGGATGTCATAAAAGTTCCTGTAGGTGTAATGGCCAGGTGTCCCATTACTTTTGTCCATATACTGTAGTGTATATTAGCCTATAATAAAAAAATCACCTAGTCCTAAAATTAACTTAACCTCAGGTGACTGTCACTTCCAGTATTTCCTGCAAGAGCTAAACTGGTTGGTAATGTGCGAACTCTCAAACTGTAAATATCGCAGAAATAATTATAATGAAGCAATTAGAAGGAAAACTTGGGCAGTTAAATTACAGTGTCGGACAGATTAATCATCTCCAACCTTGACAGATTAACCACCTTCGCAGGGCATGGACAATCTCCAACAACCACTTGTAATTAAAAGGTAAGCCATAATATTAAATCCACTGACAGGTGAAGTGAATAACATTGATTATCTTGTTACAATGGCACCTGTGAAGGTTCGATTACATAATAGGCAAGTGGACAGTCAGATCTTGAAGTTGATGTGTTGGAAGTAAGAAAAATGGGCAAGTGTAAGGTTCTGAGTGACTTTGACCAGTGCCAAATTGTGATGGCTAGACGATTGGGTCAGAGCATCTCCAAAAACAGAGGTTTTATGGGGCGTTCCCCTCAGTCAGTGCCTACCAAAGGCAGGAAGGCTAACCAGTCAATCTGTGATGGTGTCATGGGTGGCAAGTTTTTTGATGCATGTGTGGAGTGAAGGTTAGCCCAACTTGTCTGATCCCACAAGGAAGCTTCTATAGCACACATTGCTGAAAAAATTAATGCTAGCTGAGTGCTTCTCAATTTGCTGCGTATGGGGCTGTCTAGCTGCAGACTGGTCAGAGAGTCATCCTTGGGATGACTCTGTTGTGAAAGGTGCTATAAAAAGAAATTCAATTGAATAACAGATTCCACTGTCATAATTCAAAAAAAATTGTGAGACCGTACTTTTGTGGCATTTAGCAACTATCCTGTTGAGTCCCCAACTATCCTGTTCCTGGGGGAGCTTTTCCTCTTTGCCAATGTAATTTATCTGTGTCTGGAATATGCCACCATCATTTCTCAGACTGTTCCCCTACACACGTTAAATAATTTTGTGTTTTTTGCAGCTAGCTCTGTGGACTCATTGGATCCTTTTCTTGTGTTACTTTGAAAACATTCAATTCTTGTAGCATTAATAATATGTTGTATTGTGAAAATTAACAAAAATTGAAGGGTCATAATGCCTTTGAAATTGAAACACTTTTTGTTTGGAGGTGGTGTGTGGCTCAATAGGTAAGGATGCAATGTCTGTGAACAGAAGTTCGCTGGTTGAAATTCCAGCGTTGGCAGAGTGGTGTCACTGTTGAGCCCCTGAGCAAAGCTCTTAACCCCCAATTGCTCTAGGGACTGGCTGGCCCTGATTTCTTAAAAATGTAGGTTGCTTTTAATAAAAGTGTCTGCTAAAATAAATAAAATATAAATATTGTAGCGCCTGCGGAGTGCATGCCCCAGCATTCCCCGCGTGCAATTGTAAATAGCCCTTGTTGTATTGTTGTTGTTGTTAATGGTTGTATTTCCCTATTGTCGCGCATGTGTTTGCCCATGTCTTTTTGTGCATTCTTAGCCTGTGTAACTCTCCCATCATGTGTGCACCTTACAGTTCGCCATCTGACAACCTTGTATGTATTTTTGCTCTGTGTATTTGGTTCCCTGCTTGTTGGGTGCCTGTTATAGTCCAGTTAAGGACTATTGTTAAATAGCACATTTTCCCCGGTAAGCAAATCTCCTTGTCCTTCTCTGCTCCCACGATGCCTTGGTCTACTCAGTGCTACACTGGTGTCAAAAGTGGAATCCCAGGAGCGGACACTGATCACCATCATCCTGAAAGCTTGGCAGACCTCGAGGTTGCTGAGAAGTGGCGGCACCCGATGAGAGACGCAAAGCTCGTCTGCTGGTGCTGCGGGAAAGGAGGGCACTGGGCACAATGCTGCCCAGAGGCTCGTACCAGAGCAGCTGGCAGACCAGCAGGGGATGGCGGAGGAAGGAAGGCACCCTCCACTCCATCCAGAACACCGGACCTGAAGCTGCCCGCCAGAACCTCGGAGACGACGTTGATGACCGAAGAGACAGTGGGCTCTAGCCGCTCACCAGCCTGAGGGCTCCCCACTTGTCAGTGGCAAGAAGCCGCGGCGCGACACCAGCTACGAGCAGGACCAGCAGAGGCTGCTTTCTCTGTTGGAGCGAGAAGAGGCTTGCCACAGCTGGGAGGCCCACGAGCAGCAGGAGTGGGGCCATCAAGACTGAGAGTGGCCGTGGGAGTCCGTGGAGCAGGAGCAGCAGGAGCTGGAGCAGCTGCACAGTGAGTTGGAGAAGAAGTGCGACCGCCAGAAGCACCTGGCCGAGGCAGCAGAGGCGGCATTGCAGAATGGGCTGCTCGGCCAGGAGGAGGTGTGTCACGGCTTGGAGGTCCAGCTAGCTGAGAAGCACCACGAACTGCAAGAGGCATCCCGTGCTCTGGAGGCCCAGCTGGCCCAGAAGCGCGGCGAGCTGGTGGCCCCACTGGAGCAGGGCAAGCAGCTGCGCAAGCCCCTGGAGTAGGATCTGCTGCTCGACCTTGGGTGCAGGAGGTCCCACGGCAGGACCAACCTGCTCCACAACACTAGAGCCCCACTAAGCGGGGTAGAAAGAAGAGCCGGGGCCAGGAGGGGACTGCACCGCTGGAAGTCTCCAGCAGCCACCCCAAAGTCCTCAATGATGCAATCACATTCCCAATGCAATATAACATTTTCACTAGCAATGAAGGCCATCACTAGCAAAGAAGGCCATGGAGAGGGTCATTAAGAATCATATCATCAAGGGGACCAACCCCAGTTCATGTACCGGGCAGGCAGGAGGGTTGACGATGCGAAAATGTTCATCATGAACAAGGTACACAAGCATCTGGAACTCCCCAACACCTCAGCTAGACTCCTGTTTGCATATTTCTCATCTGCATTCAACACTTTGCAACCACACATCCTGGCAGAGAAACTCTCCACCCGCTTCTACCTGGATGACCAGCTCACTCTGTAAATCATCAACTTTCTGACCAACAGGTCACCGAGAGTGCTGGTCAACAACACCTTCTCTGACATCTCCATCACCTCCACTGGCTCCCCTCAAGGCTGCGCCCTGTCACCTCTTCTGTTCATCCTGTACCCCGATGACTGCAGGTCCACCCACCCAGACTGTCATCTACTGAAGTATGCGGATGACACAGTTCTCCTGTCTCTGCTCTCTGGCTCCTCACATCACCACAGCAAAATGCTCAGTGAGTTTGTGCAGTGGTATGACAGTGCCTCCCTGGAGCTAAACGTGGAGAAGACCAAGGACATGGTGGTGACCTTCTCCAGTAAACAGAGGGAGCTGGCGACAGGATCTGTCAACATAATCCACGGGTAGACAGTGGAGGTGGTGGAGGAGTAGGAATATCTGGGCACTATCTTCAACTGCACCCTAAAGTTTGCCTCCAACACCAAGGACATTCTAAGGAGATATCAGCAGTAGCAATATCTCCTAAGGAAGCTCAACAGCTTTGGGGTCAACAAGGCCATACTCAGAACCTTCTACTACTCCTTCATTGAGTGTCCTCTGTTTTTCAGTCCTTGCTCCATTCCTGTTTTTCCTCCTACACATTTGACTTCAAATACAACTCTGTGGCTTTTCATCTGCAGAGTTTCTCAGATGACTCTGATATCGTGGGGTGAATTAGTGAGAGTGAAAAGGCAGAAAACAGAAGGCTTATAGATGCCTTTGTCAAGTGGGGTCAGCAGAATGACCTCCACTTAAACATCACCAAGACCAAGGAGTTGAACTTTTTCAGACCAACAAGTACCTAGGGGTACATCTGGACAGTAAACTGGGATGGGGCACAAACCCAGATACTCTGAACCAGAAGGAGCAGAGCCAGTTGTATTTCCTGAAAAGGCTTAGGTCTTCTGGTGTATGTGGGATGCTTTTTATGAGTCTATAGTGGTAGCAACTGTCCTTTATCCTGTTTTGTATTGGGGCAGCAATAAAAGCTAGGAACAACAAAAGACAAAACAAGCTATTCAATAAGGCTGGCTCAGTGCTTGGGATCAACCTTGACCCCCCTGGAAAAGAGGATGAACAGGAAAATGAGGAACAAGCTCTTGTCTATGAGTAGTGTGTCTGTCATGCATGCAACAGTTGTTGCTCTGAAGTTCACCAAGAAATGCTTTCACAGGTCCTTCATTCCTGCTGCCATCATACAACTCTGCCCTAGGCTGAGCTGGCCAGGCAGTCACCTGCTTGTAGACTAACATTATTCACATTGAATCTATTTGAATCTATTTATTTGGTAAATTAATTTATTTATTGCTCATTGCACAGTCAATTTTTTATAACAGTGTTTTGTATAATATTATGATCTGTACACAACCATTTTGTATTAGTTATTTCTTATTATTGTCATGAAGACCCAGATAAAGTGCAAACAGGAATTCATGCTAAATGAGAGTTGAAGTCAGGGACAGAGGCAAGGAGTCAAGGAGTGAAGGGAAATACAGGCACTTATGCAGACACAGGGAGATCAGTACAAGCCCTCTCACCAAGAGGGATTGGGACACTCACACTCACTGGACTGATGATCAGGAAGTACCCTCGTACTAAATCTCACAACAGGGAAATCAAGCAGTCTGGAGAAAGCGAGAAGCAAGACAATCAGAATATTAATGGTGGATGTCAGCAATCAGCATGGGGTGCAGGATGTCCATGGTCGGGTCCCAGGATTGTTCCTTTGGGTCAAATCCCAAAGTCCACTAAATACTGCAGTCATCCCCCATGGTGTTGGGCATCCAGGAGAACACGGATGGTGTAAGCCAGGGTGCCATCAGTATTCAACAGAGGTGAAGGAGCAGGGCCTTCAGTTGGGGGATGCATCAGGTGATATCAGATTGACTTTAGTAAAGACACATGACACACTGGAATTTTCTGATAATTACCAGCAGCTTGGGGTTTACACAAGACAGGATATTTAATGGTTCAATATACTGTGGAGTCAGCTTTTTGGAGGGAAGACAGAGCCAGATATCACAGGTGGACAGCCACACCTGCTCTCCGGGTTGGAGGAGGGTAAGATGGCAATGACAATCTGCAGCAGCCTTTTGCCATCATACAGTACAGGACAGCTGGACAGTTTCCACCACTGGTACATCGCAGAGCTCCACCTCCCATGGGTAAAGTAAGGATTGGTAACCTAGAACGTTGGAAGGGTATAAGAAGCAAAGATGAATGGAACAGTGAGTTTTGAACATACTCTGCCCAACGTAGAAACTGACTCCAGTCTATCTTGTTCTGTGTACAGTTGGACTTCAGAAATCTCTCAGAGTCTTGGTTGAGACGCTGAACTTGTCTATTAGTTTGAGGGTAGTAACCCAACAACAGGCTGAGGGCCATTCCCATCCTATGACAGAAGGTGCACCCAAACCGGGCCATCCCTGATTGCTTATTAAATCCTCAGGTAACCCAAATGCCATGAAGACATAGGTAAAGATGATCTCTGCTAGTCGCAGAGCAGAAGGTAACTTAACTGGGGAATTAGTTGGCACATTTTGAGAACCTGGTGATGACAACAAGGATTACTGTTAGTCCTGAGATACCAAATGTGACCAAGGGCACTGAGGTTTGGGGAAGGGCTGGAGCTTGCCAGTCAGCAGTGCACAGGTGGCCTTGGATTGGGTACAGGTAGGAGGAATGAGGAAAGATGAAGAAGGAAACATAGTTGTTGATATTTGACCCCATGGATGGTCACCAATTTCAGCATCCCACCAGTTCCATGGTTCTTTGGATCCCTGGGTGACCAGAGCTTAGTGAAGTGTGGACCCATTGCATGAGCTGAGATCGCATAGTGTTGGGCTTGTAAGTTCTACTCGCTGATGGAGCTGGGTCCTGTTACAGGGCAAGGGTAATCTCCTCCTCCATTTCCCACCTGACCAGGGCTATGAAGCAGGCCTGTAGGACGATGGTGTCACTTGATGTAGGGGGCTGGTCTGATAGAAATCTCTGCAAGAGGGCATCCACCTTATAATCTTTTTCTCCTGGCCAATAAGTAACTTTAAATCTAAATCATGCAAAAAATGTGGCCCACCAAACCATGGCATTTAGTGGAATAAATGTTGCTGAGGACCTGTAAAGGGTGTTTTACCCCCTCAAGCTACTTAATGGGCCTACCTAATGGCCAGCAACTCCCTGTTCCCCACATCATAATTTTGTTTGTGTTGGATAACTTATTGGAGATGAAGGCACATGGTTATAACTTGAGAGGTGTGCCACTGTGTTGTTTCTGCAGCTGGAAGGTGGCTTGGATTTTATGGTTCAAGACAATCAGCCAGTGGGGAGAATGGATGAGAACCATAAGAAGAGTTGCGAGAGAACTAAAATTACAGATAAATTGTCAATAAAAATTGGCAAAATCCAGAATTCCTTGCAGCTCCTTCTTGGTCCTGAGAGTCGGCCACATGGATGCCACGATGGTTTTGCCAGGATCCATCTGGACTGCTCCTGGGAAGAGAATGCAACCCAGAAAAGAGAGATATTGTATATGAAACTCACATTTCTCATCTTCTACAAACAGGGAACGATCGCGGAGAAGTTGTAACACCTGATGAATGTGGGATACATGTTCTGGTAGAGACTCAGAGTAAATGAACAAGTCATCAATGTACACAATTAGTGAATGAGCTATTAAGTCCTGAGGGATAGTATTCATGAAAGACTGAAATATCAAGGGGGCATTACTGAGCCCATAAGGCATGACCCGATATTCCAAATTTCCATGGGTCATTACAAATGCGGTCTTCCCCTCATCCTCTTTCCAAATCTGAATCACGTTATAAGCACTTCTCAGGTCCAATTTGGTGAAAAAGTATGCTAGAGCACACCGGATCCAGCACAGCTGGGATTAGGGAAAGATCAACGTTAAACTTACAGTAACTGCTATCTTGTTCAATGGTTGATAATCTATGAAGATTATCAACAAAGTACATCATCTTTATTTTTACAGAGAAAAATCCAGAGGCTACTGGAAAAGTGGCTGGACAATTGAACCCTGAGTGTAATACCTCCTCCATGTACAGCTCCATCGCCTGAAACTTGGGTAGTGTTAAGGGGTAGTCACTGCTCTTAGGTAATGGAGCCCCAGCAGGTGGTTGATGATGTAGGCAAAGGGGATTTTCAGTGCAGGGGTAAACAAGTGACATTAACCTTGCTGAACACATTCAGAAAATCAGCATTCTCCGGTAGAATAGGTATGTCAATCAAGGAATCAGGGATCTCTATGGAGGTGGATGACGCAGTCATTTGCAGGCACAATCCAAAGCAGGAAAGGCTCCACTTGGTGATCTTGAGGAAACCGGTCCACAGAAGATCAGGTTCCGTTCACTGTGGCATGAACCTTTCTCCCATAGGGAACCTGTCCAAAGTGCAAATCTTGAGTAGAGGTATGACAGGTTCAAGAGATAGATTCAGTCAAGGGTGGTACCAATGAAATTACCAGCTGCACCGCAGTGAATTAGGGTGGTGGTGGTATGCAAACCAGAATGTCACTGGATCAAGACAGGCACAGTAAGCTGCTTGTGGGTACGGTAACGTCCAGGATAACAGAGGACCTGACTTCAGTAGTACGGGTGCTCTCTCCCAGCTCTATGGGCTCTGCTCCAGATGCGGAATGAGGGGATGGCACAGAAATGAAGGCAGACAGGCCGGAGATGGGAAAGTTAACGCAGGATGGTACGAGGAGGCGGAGCAAGTTGCCTAACTGGAAAGAGCGCTGGCTGTTTTCCTCTAGTTCGAGCTCCCAACTTCTACACACCATTTAGGTCTAGAGGTCCGGGTGCAGCCCTAACCAGTACACCATGAGGAGCTCCAGTTTGCCTTATCCACTGGCTCCAGCACTTTGTCGGTGTGGCTGTGGTGAGGAAGCTGAGTCTAAGCTCCCAATTGTTGTGTAGTACTGTTTGCACGTTATTGCTTTTCCCACAATTGTCACAGCAAAACTTAATAAGTATCTTTATATTTTTCTATATTTATATATTTTTATTACCAATTTCTATACCAATTTTGGAATATCCAGTGGTAGAAGACACTAAAGGAAGCATGGAACAAGGGCTTTCATTCAAGTGAAAAGAAGGTGTGCTCATGTCCTCATACCATACTTCTGTATTTTTTACAGCATCAGACTCTTCTGCCTGCGTCTGGTCTGTCCTGACACTCCAGTTAATGGATCGTTTAGCCTTGGTGCAAGATGAATGGAGCACTGATCGTCACAGATTGTTTTCGGCACTTGCACTTGCTGATCCACACCTAGCCTCTGCTGCTGCTGCTGCTGCTGCTTTCTCCCCAGTTAAGAAGGCTTTGATCAACGCCATCTCCATTTGGAATAAATCTTTTTATTTGATCGATTTATTTTCTATGGTGCCCCAGCTTGTGGATGTTTTGCCAACTTCCCTGATTTGAAAAGTGTTTCAGTTTATTGACCCCTATTTTGTTTCACTTTTATTGGGTCACTTTCCTTCTTATTGTAAGCTTGCTGTTGTTTAGCTGTTGCTTAAATAATCTAATTTTGATCCTACTCTACCTGCAAACTATACTTCTATAAGTAATTTGCCTTTTTTTATCCATAATCTTAGACAATGTTGTTGGTGTACAGCTTAAAGCATTCTTGGTGGCACGTAAGATTTATGATAAGCTTCAACCTGGCTTCCGCAAACTGCACTTTACTGAGGCAGCTCTTCTTACGGTCTCTAAAGACATTCTTATGGCTGCTGATGCAGGAGAATGCTCTGTTTTGGTATTTGGCCACTGCTCCCAAGTGGTTTTCTTCATTTTTATTAAACAGAAGTTTTTCTGTCTCAGTCGGCCAGTTTATGTCTTGGTCAGCTGCTGAGTTCCTCAGGATTCTGTGTGTATCATATTGTTTTATATATGCTCCACTTAAGACAGATAACCAGTAGTTTTATGAATATATCCTATCAGTTTTACTCTGATGATTTTCAGTTATTTTTTTCTTTTAAACCTAATGTCAAATTATTGGCTATTTGAAAGCTGTTAAAGCTTGGTTGGCAGGTATTTTTCTTTATTAAATGCTAATACATGAGGTTTTGGTTGTTGCTCCTTTCATTAGTTTAACTTCCTGTTCCTTATTAATTGTATTTATTCTATTGTTACCTTTCTGTCTTTTTGCATTCAAGTATTTTTATTATGGCGGAGTTAACCACTTTGCATTTTACCGCAGGTGAATATATGTATGAATGTATATCTTGCACATGACAATTAAATTCCTGGAAAAACAGTGTCTAAATTCAGCCTAAATATTGGGTCTCTATCAGCTTCAACTCAGTCCATTTTACCCAGTTTAGGGGTACATTTTGATACCTGACTGAGTTCTGATTTTCATTTCAGGCTGTTGACCCAGTCATGTTACTTCCATCTTAAAAATATTTTTAAAAAATTAAGATTTGTTGTGTCTAATAAATGGATGTAAGTATTACTTATATTTAAAATTCACTGTACTGCCGTCTCATTATGTACAGGGTTCATCAAATGATGTAATCTAAATTGAGTTAGCATGGATGTGTTTCCAGATGAATATCCAAGTTCGGTATAACAGACCAGATAGACATTCTTAGTCTTATCAACTACTCTCTCTGTCTCTGTCTCTCTCTGGTAATGGCATAATTAATTGGGAAAGTTTCCCAATTAATTTTGCCAAACTACTGATATAAGAGATGTGGGAGGTTCTTAGAGCCCCGTAACACAAGCAGTAACCAACTCAAAGCCACAATTAGCATGATTTCCATGTTAAACATCTACTTGTGAATTTCACCTATGTCAAGAAATGCTTTATTTAGTTTTATTGCGCATTCCAAACTGAAAATGCTCTAACTGAAAGGCACCAGACTAATACGAATACCATTGCAACCCTTGGGATCTATTTTGAAAATCTATCACAAAGCGTAAAGCGCAAAGCGTAACTAACATATATGGGTGTGTCCAAATACTTTTTTCTATTTTGACTGCAGGAAAATCGGACTTTGCGCCAGCGCAAGGCGCTGAAAGGTTGCCCTAACTATCTTAATTATTCAGAGGCATAAAATGCGATGAACCAATCAGGGTGGCATTTCAGCTCACCTTTAAAAGGCAGCGGCGCATTATCTACAGCAGATTACTATTATAATGGTGTGTTTGCCTGGCAAACCAGATCGCTTTTTGCCCGAGGAAACAGACATGCTTGTGCACAAAGTGAAAATGCGTGAGAAAATCATCTAGGGGAGCAGAACTGTTCTGCCTAAGCCTTGCGAGGTGAAGGAGGTGCGGGAGGAGGTGCTGTAGCAGCGAGTGTCTCCTCATTTTCTGGCATCACTAGATCATCCAAGCGATATAATTATGTCAGAAGACAGGAAAAATACAAGCTCACTGCTGAATATCACAGCGGCTGGGAACGGGGACTTAATTATGCTTGTTTGTTTTATTTTATTTTAATTTTGGGTCTGCAGTTCACAAAATATAAATAAAAGTGCAAAACTTTGTTCAAACAAAACACAACCTCCAGTTTTTAATGTGTTTTAAAATGTTCAAATAAAAGGGAGTAGGACTGTTCTTTATCTGCTTCTCACAATTTAGATTCCTTAACAGGCGACAGAAGATGCAGCTCTCCTGCCGGCTGATCCCTCTTTGCCCGCGCTGCTGCCAGCGTGCACTCCATTGTTGGCATCGACACATGCAGTTCAGCATAACACCTTCTAAAGTTCTCTGTGTTCCCACAATGTCAAAATAACTGGTTTTTATTACGTTGTGGGGACATTTGGTCCCCACAATGTCATGTATATCTGGCAAACACATGCAGTGCCTTCCACAATTATTGCCACCCCTGGTAATGATGAGTAAAAAGGGTTGTAAGAAATTCACCTTTTAATTAATTAGTTAGAGAGGATAGAGAATACAGAATCTGAGAACATTTCTCTTTAGAGAATCTTTCCAAATCACCCAGGGTCCGAGATCCTCTCCTGTGGTCTCTCCTTTTCAGTTCACCTCACCGGGGACTGAGATGGCCATGGCAGAAGCTTGATTTTGTGTTCAGATCCATTTTTGTGTTGATTTGGACACGTTTCAGATCATTGTCCTGCTGGAAGATCCAACAACGACCCAGATTAAGTTTATTGGCAGAAGCAGCCAGATTTCTCGCAATCCACAGAGTGCATTCAAAGGCGTTTATTTCAAACACAAAGCAAACAAGCAGGAAGACAGTGAGCAGAATTAGAGTCAAAGTAGCGAGGCGAAGCAGGGTCTGAGTCATGGAGGTCGGGATCAGGCAACTGGACAGGGAATCGAGAGGCAGAGTCAGGGTCACATAGTCAGGAGAGTCAAAAGTCAAGGAGGTCAGTCCGAGGATGAAGACTTCAGACACAAGGCAGGAACAAAGGGAGAGTTCAGGACTGGGGCAGTTGGGACAGAGCAGGTGGGCAGGCTAGGCAGAACAGGCAGGGCAGATCGGAGCTAGACCA